TTCAAAAAAAAATGATGACATTTTAATGTAAAATATTTTGAATTCTATTCTCCTCGGTATGGAATAGTTAATACCATGACCGGGGTGGTATTAATTATTTCAAGATTTAGGGAAATGGCTATTCTTTCTTTTATAAACATATGAAGAGAAAATTTTTGAAGAATAAAAAGCTGTTCCTCCAACCAAACATAATGTAAAACTTATCATTATCTATGCTCATGACTTTCTATTTATCCAAACGAAAATTCAAAAAGAAAAAAAAATTAACATTTTTCAATGCCATAGCTTTGACCTAATTGAACTTCTCAATGCTTTGACCCAATTTTCAGTAACCGCCTAAATGCATTTTTGTTGTCTCGAAGAAAAGCTTAGGCTTTAACCATCCAGGTGCGGGTCAATGGCTTCAAATATCAAGTAAAATATTCAAATGAGATTTTCTTTTCTTATTAAAATTAAATATTTTTAAAGTTTTAAATGATTAAATTTATATTTTTAATTTGATATATTAAAATATTTATTATAAAGCATCAAAATTATTTAATTATTATAATTATTTTATATTTTTTAAATGATTAATATAAAATCAATAATCAAAATTTTTAATTCAAATAACTTAACTATCACATAAAATAAAAATAATATAATAATATAATATAAACTCTAAATTAAAAATAAAAAGTTTGTAAAAATTAAAACAATATTACCTAATTGTTGAATGCTTATTACAAATTATAAATAAGACTTACAACTTTATAAAGATAATAGCATAACAAATTTTCTACGTATTCTTTGAAGAAAATATAAAATTAAAGGAAAAAAAAGCAGATGACGAAAAAAAATCAAGAGTGGGTATTATAAATTGAAAAAAAAATTAATAAGTGATAAAAAATTAAGATTTATTAGACACATAATTAAAAAAATGAGAATATATGTCATTTTATTAATTATTTTTTACTTTTATATATTTTTAATTGAAAATGAGATAATTAGTTCAGAATTAATAATGATGTGGAAGTAAGAGAAAATAAGTATTTATTAGACATGAGTGAACAGGTAAATATTTTATTAATTATCTTTATTTTTATAT